CAGCAGCTTTCTCGTAGATATTGGGGTGCAGCGAAAGGGCGTTCGGCACTTGGCTGTGCTTGGTTGCAGGTGGCACGAGCTGAGAGCGATCATCACAGCAACCGTCATCACCTCATGTGGGTCATAGATTGGTCCAAGTACTACGAGTCCATACCGTTGGATCTGCTGCGAATGAAGTTTCTGAAAGTAGGAGTGCCTGTATGCTGGCTCAAGCTGGTGTATAACACGTGGAGGCCACCGCGTGTCATTCGCTTGGGCAGGCATCATTCTGTCACACCTTTTATTTGCTGTGTGTGGCCTACCTGCGGGCGATGGCTACAATGATTTGGCGATCAAGGTGCACGCATATGAAGAGTTCGATGAGTACATATCCAGATAACCTGCGATATATTTTCTTAACTACATAGACGACACGGCTCTCAGCAACGGTGCCAAAGATGATGAGATTGCAGTCAAGGTCTCTGTGCACGCTATGGTTGAGTTCCGACGTACTTCTGAGAAGCTCTCGGCTGGTTTCAATTATGAGAAGATAGGCTTGCTGGCGTCCACCCCGAAGCTCGGCCGCGCGGTGCTCGACGCGCTAGATATGCCGCACCCCATACTCAAGCAGAGCGTCCCCTACCTCGGCGTCGACGGGGTTGCAGGAGCCAGGCGTGGTGCAGTAGGGGTGAGAGCCAAGCAAGCCAGACGTTTTTCTGGAATGAGATTGCGTCTGAGGAAGGTCAAGTTTTACAAGAAACGGTTTAAGGGTCGGAAAGAGGCACCATTTTCCCAGATTTGCCGTGCTGGAGTTGCTCCAGCTAGCAGTTTTGGCGCCGAGGTTCCAGGCCTTAGTCAGGCCGAGTGGGGGTCCCACCAGCGAATGATGTGTAGTGCTGGCGCCCCCTGTCACGGCGGGGTTTCTTTAATTGCGAAGCTGGTGCTTCTTGGGGACAAGAGCTCTCGTCTCGCGGTGGCCCCTGCGATCCATTGGTGTAGGATGATTTGGACAGCCTCCACTCAGCCCGAGCGAGCACTAGTCAGTAAGAGTGAGCTGCTTAGGCTCTGGGACTCGGCCCAGCCTCTGCAGGGTGGTCCCTGGAGCTCCTCTCGCGGCCCTATCCGTCGTGCTGTACTAGTGCTCCAGAGAGCTGGGTGGGAGGTGCCAGGACCTTTGGAGTGGAATGATCACAATGGTTTCACGGTGAAGATAGATCAGACCCCTCCTGCTCTGTTAGCCGAGATGCTAGAGATCAGTATTCAGCGCCATCATGAACTGACTCTAGCAGCTAAATTAGGCCACCCCCCTGGGCACAGGGCCACCTTGGATCTCGTGCGGGACCGCTTGGGGCCAAACGCTAAGGGTTTGGGTAGGCACGCCAAGTTTTAGTGAAATGCTGTGGGTGCCCTGGAGTGTGGACCAACGAGAGAGGTCGTTTGGCGGGTTGCGCTACGGACGGGCGCTGCGAGCGCGGACAGGTCGACACACTCCACCACAGGCTCTACACGTGCATGCGTGAGGATGTCAAAGTAGCTCGAGACGAGTCGGGTGCCACGCCAGAGCATGTTCAGGCAGCGCTCGAAGGTCCTGATCTCGAGATTTTTACCAGAGGGATTTTTGTGTATCCAGATAGTGAGTTGCCCAAACCGAGTACGTCGTCTGAGGTTGAGTTGTTTGATGTTTTGGGCAACCCACTAGACATGGATCCTGAGCAGATTGCAGACCTTTCAAGCGATCAGGTGCCCCGTCTTGTATCAGACGGATATTGTTCCAAGCCTCCTATCCGTGCGCCCCGGCGAGCAGCATGGGCCATTGGAGTGCTGCCCGACGTTGGAGCGGCACCTGAGCCAGTTGCTGTTTTACGTGGCGTAGTCCACGGCACTTTTCCGCAGACACCTGCATTGGCTGAGCACGTTGTGATTGCTTTGTGCGGCCAGGTGGCGAACAGACCCGCGGTGCTCGGCGCGGATTGCATGTCGGCAATAAAAGTGACACAGCGCAACATTGCTCACCAGTTGGCTGCTTCATCGAAGTTCGCTGGCATTCGTCTGTTCGCTCAGAGCCTCGAGGGGCAGCAGTGGCTCCAGGAGTTTCGACACGTGAAAGCGCACCGACCACAGGCTGTCATAGATGCGCTGCCAGACGGCGAGAGGGAGTTTGCTGTTGGCAATTCAGTGGTGGATCATCATGCCAAGAAAGCTTTATTGCAGCATGTCGGTGCAGACCCAGAGTTTCTTGCTTCTGTCAACCTTGCCCTTGAGAGGGCGAACAATTTCGTCAAGATTGCCACTGCCGTGCTACCTCTATATAAGAACGATCTCAGGTGGCCCCGTCCTCCCCGCGCCCCGAGGCGCGCGCAAAACAAGCTCCGTGTCGGCTGGCACGACTGGCAGGACGGGGCCGCGGGATTTCAGTGCAGCCGTTGTCTGCGACTAGGTGGGAACGCTCGATCGCAGCTTGATCTCACTGGTTGTACTGGTGTACCCCCTCTCATAGACAAGCTGCTCAAGGATCCCCAGGGGCACCTTGTCGTCGCGGCTGGGCTGGCTCGAAATCCTGCCTCGGTCGATGTCGTGTGTGCGATCCCTGAGAAGCAAAGCTATGTGTGTTTAAAGTGTGGAGGGTGGTCCCAGGGCCGTGCTTTAAAGTTGGCTGGTCCCTGTTTGCCCCCCACCAAGAAGGGCCAGGAAGTTATGAACCGCTTTTTCCAGGGTAAATTTCCTAATCGCAAGTGTGCGGAGTTCCTGGGTCGCACTGTTCCCCTTGCTCGGCTGGCCCCCAAGAGGCCGTCGGAGAGAGTCCCCAGGAGCCCCGCGGTGTCTGACTCTACGGTGGTTTCTTTTCCTTCGGCATCAGGGGCCGCTTTTCCCTATGAGGTGCGTATGGCAGCTCTTGTGGAGAGAATTCGTGACAAGGAAGCTGCCTCGCCGAGAGGCTAGTACTCTGAGCTGAGCTCAGTATTTAGTGCTGTGCACTTTCCCCGCCAGGGCATTTCATTCATTCATTCCTCCTCCTCCTCCTCCTCCTCCCCTTCCTCCTCCTCCTCCTCCTCCTCTTCCTCCTCCTCCGCCACCCCCTTGCCCCCGTCCTCCTCCTCCTCCCCCCCCACTCCTCTCCTCCGCACTCCTCTTCCCCTCCTCCTCCCCTCCCTTTTCCTCCTCCTCCTCCTCCTTCTCGTCCCTCCTCCTCCTCCTCCCCTCCTCCTCCGCCTCCTCCTCCTCCTCTCCTTCCTCCTCCAATTCCTCCTCCTCCTCCTCCTCCTCCTCCTCCTCGTCTTTCCCGCTCCTCCTCCTTCTTCTCTACCTCCTCCTCTCCTCCTCCTCTCTCCTCCTCCCTCCTCCTCCTCCACCTCCTCCTTCCTCCTCCTCCTCCTCCTCCTCTCTGCCTCCTCCTCCCCTCCACCCACTCCCCTCCTCCTCCTCCTCCCTCCTCTCCTCCTCCTCCTCCTCTTCCTCCTCCTCCTCCTCCTCCCATTCCTCTTCCTTCTCCTCCTCCTCCTCCATTTTTGCTCAAGCCATTCGGCTCAAGCCGGCTCGATCTAAGCTCTGGTTGCCAGGTTCGCGCGCCGATTTCCTGGGATGGCTGTTGCTCTCCCTCGCCGCCGCTGGCGCCACTGGCGCTGGCCGCCGCCGCCGCGGCGCTGGCGAGGAGTGACGGCGGACCCCCTGCGCTGCGAACGAACCGCACGCCCTGGAACGCGGGGATACGGAAGCGCGACTCTTTTGACCGGCCTCGCCCTGCTGCGCGCGACGCCCTCGCCCGCCGGGCTCGAGGGCGCGCTCGCGGTTTGCCCGCGGGCGTGGACGCCTGCCGCAGCCGCTGCACCTCGCCTGCCCCTGCCGAGCGCCGAGGCCGCTGGGGCCCCCGCGCATCGCGCCGCCGGCTGGCGCGCTGGCCTTGCTGCAGCTGCTCGCCGCGCACGCGTCCCGGCAGGAAGGGGCGCGCGAGGGCCTAGCCGCTTCGCGCGCTCGCCCGCCCTGCCCACTCCCTTCCTCCACATGCCGTGGTTCGTCGGCAACTGTGAGCCCGACGTCGCGGAGTGAGCCGAAGGCGGGTTGGTACTCGACTTCGTGTTCACGGTCGGGGGGGCCTGGCTTTTCAGGTGGTGACATGTGGTGACCAGGTCCCCCGTGCGCAGGCGCTGTCGGCATCGACCGTCTCCTGGGGTTCGCTCGCCCTCCTCCTCCTCATCTTCCTCTTCCTCCTCCTCTCCTCCTCCTCCTCCTCCTCCTCCTCCTCCTCCTCCTCCTCCTCTTCC